TGTGCGAGAACTCGTCGATCTCACATTAACCGCACCGCAAACTCATAAGTGAAGTTCCCCGTGTCGAGCGTTCTAATACCTCCTGCATGCAATTCACCAACCGAACTGACGCTAATATCGATGCAACGAAGAGAAGGAGGAAGCGCTTGTAGCTATTAGAAAATCGGTTTGGTGTTCCTCGCACTTTAATAATTTAGGACCATTAACGATTCGCGGCATTCTATGAAGTTGATGGTGCGGCATTGATATCCGTTTCTATGCCGGTAGCCATGGGTACTTTGCTTTAAAAGCGGAGTGAACAACAATGTGTCAAGAACGTCGTGTAGTCTCCGGTCCCTTTCCAACAGGGTGGTACCCATTTTTTTACCGAGGACGGAAAAAGCGCTTGACTAAACCGAGACATCATTGAAATGGAATAGTAGCACAAAAAGACCTACCGAAAATCAAAAACACATGACTTCGACATACAGAAATTAAGTAGCTGTAAATTAACAAACGAAATGTATCTTATCGTATCACTCATCGCAGGTACTCTCGCTACGCTTAAATATATTTTGCAGTTATAAGGTTTTGAAATAAAACAAATAAAATGGGCAGCCTTGAACGCACCCAAGATTCTGTTTTCTTTTATAATCATTAGGAATCAGTTCAAGTGAAATTATTATTATTTCAATAGTTTGAACCAAAATCAAAGATTGCCGTGCGGCTCAAATTCTTCAAAAAATTACAAAAATCAGTCTATCAATTTTTGGAGAAAAGTCCCATGAAACAAACGCGAACTGAATTGAGGCAAACTATTTCAATTTATTTTTTTCTCTTTGCCATTTTGCAATCTTTGCATGTCCCGAATTACATTGTGTTAAAGTGATCCCCACATAAGTGCCCGTTTTAGCATGTATGAATCGGTGGTTTTACTGTATTCCGAGTTTCTGCACATGGTTATAGTCAGATGACGGTTTCGGTCGTTTATTTTGTTTAGCTTATACGTTGATAAATTATAGCGAAAAGTTATTCTGGGAAAAATATGCTTCGTCACACGACATATTTTCCTACCTGCTGCTCTTTCTATCCATAGGAAACTAGATTCGAAATTGTTTAAAATTACTTTACCTGCAAATCACATGTTCGGCCTGAACTTGTGTACGATACCTTGTTCCCGATGGTTGAGTTGTAGAAGGAGACTATCTAGTATCCCTATTCGTCATTACCTTTAGAAATTCGTCATTTGTTAAGTGTAAAATTGAATATTGCATCAAAAGTAGTCTGCAGTTAAACGCTTTATCACAAAACTTATCTCGGTTACCTCAATAAAGGGAGTGAATTTTCAAGTGTATTCAGACAGGCTAACCGTAGCTGTTTGAAAGTCGGTTTGTGAAGATTTGTTTTTCTTTAAAAATAGTGGGCATTATCATCGGTTGCTACGTAAATGTCGGTGCCGCTGTTCGCGTCGTAGCAGTTTCAGAAAGAGTGGTTTTCCATTTGCCGTAGGCTAACTTCGTTTATTTAATTCTATAATGTTTTTTCATTTAGTGATTTCCTATTTTGTTTTGATTCCAAGTCTGTTTCTGTATCTTGATTCGTATTAATTCTGTGGTTATACGCGCGGCAAGAAGGCCGATTTTCAGACATTTTATTGCCAATGTTTCGGCTACGCCTTGTTTGTCCTCAGGATGGACACTGCTAGTTGTTTCAAAGAAACTTTAAAAGTAAAATGAACACTATCCTTATGTTGTAGTTGTGTCGATAACCATCGAAACGGTAGCTATTACTTTGTATCTGATTGTAACGATTTATATCAGTTGTAACGTGTTCTTCGATAGTTTTTGAATAGTCGTTAATATACGGTCTTTTTGTTTTTATTTCTTCGCGAGATTGATTTATCTCATTACTTTTCTTTCTAAATGCCTTTAGTGGTTAAAAATTTTAGAGGCCATGAGCAAGCGCCGCGCTGATTCCCAGTTGACGCATGAAAATTGGAATCAAGAAGACGCAGCAGAAACCGACGAGGTAAGTTGATGTCTGGACTCAGTACTGCGCTAGTTGTTTGAGTTGTTTGTCTGTGATCGTCCTCATTTACACTTTCCATCCTTTTGCTCCGTCTTCAGAACGGAGAGGTGCGGGGTTCGATGTTGACAAACGACTGGATGCCATTCTGTGAAAAGGCTACATGACGCTACATGCAATGCTTGCCGCGTAGCTGTTGTCGATTCTGTCTTTAAAAGAGTATTCCTGGCTGATATCGCAGAAATGGTAATCAGCATCGCACCATAAATTTCCTGAGCTGAACGGCGCCATAAATGGCCCCCCAATCATGAACGTTTAAGACAGACCGAAAACCCAACCGTTACAAACTTTTATGTTTTTTCTTTCTCTGTGAAGCCGCAGACTGTTTACGATATGTTATATACGACATGTCTCAATAATTCGCATTTTGATATTAAGTTCTTTTCGTTGCATCGAGACAAGAAACAACCTTCTTCGATAAGAGGCTTGCGTTTAGTTTTCTGAGCTACATGAATTGCTGGCCACCGCCTTTTGTCAGCCATGTTACCGCCCCACTGAAGAACGAGTGAGCGTTCTCATCGGTTCCTTGCCGATAATCTAAGCATGACAGCCCTCTGTTTTTGAACATCTCAGATATGTGTATGAGATCTGCTGAGGTTAAAGCTGGTCTTTGTTCATACCAACGTTGCACGCTGTTCATTTGGCCCATACAGTGGAACAGTCCTGACAGCAATGCGGTATGCATGAATCGTAGTTGGACTATTATTTTTTTTCTCTGTTCAATTTTTGGCAGGCTTTCATGCGCACCATCCTTCTGTTTAGGTCGTGATCACAGTTACCATTGTTAGCGATGACGGATAGAGGTATTTTTTAAACTTGCTAACTTCTTTGATGGTGCTGATTCCTTCGCTTAACTTCCTCTGCTTTCCGGGTACCTTGAGCTTCACCTCTGTTACACTAGGAAATGGTCCTTGCAAAATCGTTTAGTGCTGTTTCGTACAATATGACCTATTACACAACCTAGAAAAGCTTATAGGAGAGTTATTTGCCCAGCTTGATGCCGTTTTTGATCTCAGACTTGTATGAAGCTTGTTCTT